TGTTGCGACAGGACAAGGGGGAATGGCTTTAAACTAAAAGAGGGTAGCTTTAGACTAGATATAAGGAAGAAATTTTTTACGCTGAGGGTGGTGAAACTGGCACAGGTTGCCCAGAGAGGTGGTAGATGTCCCATCCCTGGAAACCTTCAAGGTCAGATTGGAGGGGGCTCTGAGCAACCTGATCTAGTTGAAGATGTCCCTGCTCGTGGCAGGGGAGTTGGACTAGTTGGCCTTTAAAGGGCCCTTCCAACCCAAACCATTCTATGATTCTATGATTCTATGTTAGATAGCTGTGTCCCAATAAGACCCAAGTTTACCTGTTCTTACGTTATCTACATCTCATCTACAGTGCATCTCAAGAACTTTGCATGAGAAGTATAAAGTATGACAGAAATACTATATGCATCAAAACCTATTTGTATATGTTGCTGCTTGCCTCACTGCTAAGTTTCTAATCAGACCTTGACTTGTTTGAAGGCACCTTCTTGCAGATGAAAAAAAAAATTGCTCAACAAGGAGATTATTGAATAGCACATGACTTAGCCATTCATCTAATTAGCCCACTGATAGGAATCATAAGACATTTTAATAAAGTATAGCCATAAGAAATATTCAATATGACCTCATATTTCCCAGAAATGTTATATTTCTATCTTGCTTTATCAATGGGACACAGTGTTTGTTTAAGGTAAAAAAAATCTAACATGAATTTGGGGAGGACCACTTTTGGTTTCTGTAGCATGTGAATGCCTTTCTCCTTGCTGCAAGAGCTGGTGCCTAAAACCAAAGATCAACATCGCAAACAGATGGTGTTGACCCCTTAGTGCGTTCACTGCTATTTCCATTAAATGGAACTACATGGTCTAGAAGTCCAGTAATCAGCACTCTTCAGTTCTTAACCCAGCCTTACATTTGACAGCACAATTTTCATCAGACAAAACCGCCACAGGTAACCTTCCTAGGGTCAGAGGCAGACTGCCAATCTTCTTGTCTTACTAACCTACTCAAAATCATGCACATTGAGAAAATAAGGCTAGAAACAGGTTTCTATTGAATGTTGTCTATTTTCATAGCACCTTTTCTCAGCTATGGGAGCATATGGTTAAATACAAGAGTTATCTTGCTTAAAGACTGCTGTTGTAGTGAGATGTTTCAGGAATTTATAATTCTTCTTTTTTGGATCACCGCTCAGCAGTAGACATCAATGGAAATTCTATTTTTTCACTTCAAGAAAAATTCTGTGTAATTTGTTTCCATTCTTGGAAACATTTTTTCAAAGTTCCCATGAAAACAGCATATGTATTAACAAACCCACAGCTGATCAACATACCACATCCTGACATCGTGTGTTAATTTTTACACTGTTAATCATGTAAAATGATAGATATTTACAAATGTCCATGTTTGAATATAATAATATATTGTTAGCTCACAAAAATACTGTAAATAACTTCCCAGAAAACACTTTGAATTCAGCAAATAAAACCATAAAGGTTCTGAACAGATCTAGTGTGAAATATCTCCTCCCAGATCTTTTCACTGGAGCAATACAGTTCTTCGTATTGCTACTGCTGTGCTATTTCTTAGAATGCTTTCCACGTTTGAAAGGCTTTAAATTCACCTTTCTCACCTCTGTGTTTTAGTTTGCCAGTAAAAGTAAATTCATAATGACTCTAATGCCTGGTATGGCTGCAGAGCTTATTTATGTTACTGTTGATTATCACTTGCATGAGAATATGCAGGATCCTCTTCATGCATGAGCAGATCAGTTGTGTTAGATGTTTCCCACAAAATACCATAGTATCAAGGAGCTTCCAGTCTGGTATCTAGATTTTTTGTGACTCCTATTTAAAGTCCTATAACGTACACCAAGACCCTTGGTACTATCCTGTCGTGGTTTAACTTCAGTCAGCAACTGAGCACCACCCAGCCGCTCGTTCACTCACCG